CAATGGGAAAGGATAATGTGTGGTACTTTGGCTGCATATATGAGGATTTATTTGGTGGTTAAAGGGTTAAGAAAGTACCATGTTTCTCCTGGACTTTTATGGTTGTTTAGTGGGTTGTACTAGGGAACATAGTAGGGACCATGTTGGGTGGATGTTGGAAGATGAATGGGGCTGTTTTGGTTTCCTATTGTGACCAGGGATTAAAATAGATAGAAGAGACTTTATTTTGGATATCAAAAGGAAATAAAATACTTTTGGATGTTTGGGGTTGGGTTGGACGGAAAAGGGGGTTGACCAGCGGAACCCTTAGGTCAAAAACGAAAGTTATTTTGGCCTTTCGAGCTAAAGGACATTGAATTCTCACTAAAATGGATCATAATGTTTGAACCTAAGTCCTTTGGTTTCCATGAGGGTGTGGGATATGGGGGAGGGTATGATAGGCTCGGGCCCAGATATATCAGGTTTTTCCGCTCAACAACGACATTCTGTTGAGGCGTTCTTGGGGCTGAGAAGTTATGTGCAATGCCTACTTCATCACAATAGGTATCAAACCCACTTTGATCAAACTCTCCTCCATGATCACTTCTTATGGCCACAATGCTACAACCTTTTTCATTTTGAACCTTTTTAGTGAATTTGCAAAAAGATGAAGGTGCATTACTCTTGTGAGAAAGAAATAAGGTCCATGTATAACGAGAGTAGTCATCAACAATAACCAAGGCATAGTAATTACCACCTAAACTCATAGGTCGAGAAGGTCCAAAGAGATCAATGTGCAAAAGCTGCAATGGTCTAGAAGTAGAAACAACTTTCTTTGATTTGAAAGAGGTTTTTACTTGTTTACCCTTTTGACATGAATCACAAATTCCCTTTTCGAATTTGAGTTTAGGAACACCAATTACTATGTCTTTTGAAACTAATTTATTAATTAGTTCCATATTGGTGTGACCAATTCTTTTATGCCATAGCCACATCTCTTCCCCTTTAGTAATGAGGCAATGAGCAAAGTCCGTTGGAGTAATTTCAAGGTGGATCATGTAAATATTATCTATGCGATCGCCAGTAAGGATAATCTTGTTATCACAAAGGCGTTCGACTATGCAATGATTAGAAGTAAAAAAACACGGTTACCTTTATCACACAATTGACTAATGCTAAGCAAATTATGCTTGAGGCCTTCGACCAACAACACATTTTCAATTCCGGAAGCTTTGTTTTTGCCAACAGTTCCGGTTCCAATGATCTTTCCTTTGTTGTTGTCGCCAAATATGACATTTCCACCATCAATTGATTTTAGAAAAACAAATTTGGATGCATCTCCGGTCATGTGCTTGGAGCATCTGCTATCAAGGTACCATAGTACACTTGATGCCTTCAAGCACACCTGTACAATTATTTAATTAGGGGTTTTAGGTACCCAAATCTTTTTGGGTCCTTGAGAGTTAGTATGAACATCATAAATATCAATGTGTGCCCTCTTCCTATCCTTAGCAATCAATCTCAGCTTCCTAAAACATACAGGAGCTATGTGTCCAACGTGATCACAGAAATGACAAACAACTCTAGGATCATACATATATCTATATGGACTAGAGTGTCTCCTATGTGTCCTAAAGTTGCTAGGTTGTCTAGGTGCATTCCTTACATTCCTAAAATTGCTAGGTTGTCTATTTCTAGGAAATTGTCTAGGTTGTCTAGTGAACCTATGAGCAACGTAATTCCTAGACTGACTAGGTTTTCTCATCCTAGAAGTAGTGGGGGTTTGTGCTATTCTAGATTGAGTCTTCTTAGGATTAGTAATAAATTTTCGTTGTGAATTATCCCTAGAATTATTTTTATCCAAAGGTCTTTCTCCTTCTTTTACGAAGTTCATTTTCTTAAGTCCCTTAGATTTATATCCTAATCTATTTCTATTATATTGACCTTGTTGAACTATAAAGTGCATGTTCTTGCTAGCCTTATTATATTTTCCTAAATGCTCATGCAATCTAGCTATCTCTTTTTCATGGATGTTACATTGTGCACAAGAAGTGTCAATACTTACCTTGCCAAGTTTCTTATTTTCAAGTTTCAATAAATCCATCTCCTTATTAAGTTCAATTATTTGAGCTTCTAAAGATGTGACATTTTCTTTGGCAAGCTTAGTTTCTTTGGTGGATTTGAGAAATTCACCATAGAGATCACTAAATGCACTATGTAAATCATCCAATGAAAAGCAATCACTCGAAGACGATAAAGGAGTTGAAAAAGAATTAGAAGATACCTCTTCCTCGGTAGCCATTAGACAAAGATTTGATGTTTCTTCAACCTCATCACTTGTTTCGGAAGATGAATGATCACTCTCCCATGAGATGTATGCTTTTTGCTTCTTCTTGAACTTCTTGTCCTTCCCTTGCTTCAACTTAGGACAATAAGGCTTGATGTGCCCTATCTCTCCACATTCATAGCATTTAGGTGGTGTAGCTTTCTTACCATTGTCTCTTCTTGGCTTGAAGCTTTTCTTGATAAATTTGTTGAAGCGTTTGATGATAAGAGCAAGTTCGGGATTATCTTCTAAATTAAGTGATTCATCATCATCTTCTTCATTTTCCTCTACAACTTCCTTGGTGGCTTTCAATGCTATAGATTTCCTCCAAAACAGAAGTGGTGCATCTACTCCTCATCATCAAAGTATACACTCATCAAAGGGTGCTTCTCATAGTATTCAATTCTGTAACATCAGAGAAGGATCAGTTATGGCGTTCACCTCGGATTTCCACTCAGGAGTCATACAACGCAGAATTTTCCGGACAAGCTCATGATCGGTGTAATACTTTCCGAGCGTGTCAAGATTATTGATGATTGTAGAGAATCTCTCAAAATAACTATCAATGCTTTCATTCTCCTTCATTGAGAATAATTCGTATTCATGCAATAAGATATCAACTTTAGCATCTTTAACTTGAGATGTACCTTCATAAGTGACTTCGAGTTTAGTCCACATCTCATTGGCGCATTTGCATCTTGATATCTTCCTATAATCATCAGGGTTGACTGCACAATAAAGATAGTTGATGGCTTTGGCATTTTGCATGACATTTTTCTTGTCTTGATCATCATATTCGGATTCCAACTTGGGAACACGAATTCCATCAACAATATTTGCAGGGGTAGTGTTTCCATGCTTGATTACCATCCATGAGTCGAAATCATTTGATTGTATGAATATCCTCATTCTTTCCTTCCAATATGCATAATTTGTACCATCAAAGAATGGAGGACGTGTAGTAGATTGTCCTTCGGATACATCGGCTTGGAATGTTCTTCCGGCCATGATCTAGATTTCTGGCGGTAAAGCTTTGGAAATGCAGCCACGCTCTGATACCAATTGTTGAACAACTTATGCACCTCTAGAGGGGGGGTGAATAGAGGTGTTCTTCAAAAGACAAAACTTTTGGAAGAATAAAAAAAATTTGCAGGAGTAAATCAACCACAAGACAAAGATGAAGAGAAGGAGCAACACACGATGTATCCTGGTTCGGCCTAATGCCTACATCCAGTCCCCGAAGCAAACGTGCCCGAGATTCCACTAACTTCGTCAAACTTAACGAAGTTTGACATTCCAATTACAACTCGAGAACTTGAATTCGCAAGCCTCTAACCTTTCCACCGAAATCTTGATTTCATAAGACTCGGGATTTCTCTCCAAAACTTGAATTATATCAACTTCAAGTTTTTACAATTCACACACTGTTTCAAAACAAAGTGCACAGCGTACTCTTCAAATTAAGAGTGGATTGCTGTAGAATACAAGATCTTATAGAGTATGGCACACTAGTACTCTCCAAAACTCAAGCAAATATTGATTTCTTGAAGAATTGCTTGGAAGTATTGTTGAAGGATCAAAAGTATGAATTGAATTGCTTGGATTGATAGAAGAATATGTTTGAATGGATATAAATAATGTTCTTCAACCAAAAGAGCCGTTGTAAGTGAGTTATGGAAGATATGGATGGATAACTCCCTTAAAAACTGACAAATCTCCAGTTCAAACTGACGACTTATTCGAATAAAATCATATTTATCCGAACAAGTTAGAGCGAAAAATGCAGACTTGTTCAACTAAATTAAGATTTATTCGACTAAGTCACTGTAGGATTGAAGAAATGAGCTTCAGGACTTATTCGAATAAACTGCTATTTATCCGAATAAGACAGAACTGAGAACTCTGACTTATTCGAGTAAAACAAGAGTTATCCGAATAGTTCTCACAGTTTTGAAAATGTTATTTTGCAATTGACTCAAAAACAATTTGAAGGGTTTTTGGAAAACATTTTCAAGGAGGGAAAAAAACAACTAACGTGCCATACACTTTAACAAAAATGCTAAGACCAAAACAAAAACCAAAAACACTATATCTTCACACTTGTCTTGAGATCCTAAGCATGATTGTGAAGATCAACATCCAAAGTGCCAAGCCCATGAGATAGTTGTCATTATCAAAACACAAGGGTCAACAGATTTGAATTTGATTTGATCCGTTTAGATCTATTTTGGTCTGATTCGATCTAATTAGATCCGATCTAATGCATTTAAAGATTAGATCAGACAAATAGGACACAACCTATACAAGTGAATAGATTTTCGAATTGCATTGGAATTTGATTCGACCCTACCCTATTAGATTTGTTTTGGTCTGATTCGATCTAAATAGGTCCGATCTAATGCGTTTAAAGATTATATCTGGGAAATAAGACACAACCTTGACAAGTAAATTGATTAGATCTAATTTGGTCTGATCTAATGCATTTATAGATTAGATCAGGCAAACAGGACACGACCTATATAATTAAATTGTTTTTTAAGATTTGATCTAATCTTAATAGATTTGATCTTAATAGATTTGAATTTTACTTGATCTTATTAGATCTATTTTTGTCTAATTCAATCTAATTAGATCCGATATGATGCATTTAAGGATTAGATTAGGCAAATATGACACGAACTATACAACTAAATTGAATTTTTTAATATTTTATTTGATCTTACAAGATTTTAATTTGATTTGATTTGATATTTTTGAAGATTTGATTTGATCTTATTGGATTTGACTTTAATTTATTCCGATTAGATCTATTTTTGTCCGATTTAATCTAATTAGTCCGATTGGTTATATTACAAACTCTTTTAATTTCATCTAGTCTAATCTGATATGATGAGACCCGATTTCATTAGATATTATTAGATCTAATCTTCATTGATTTAATTGGAATAGATTTAATCTGTTTGATCTAATTGTAATTATATTTAAAATTCTTTTAATTTGATTTGATTTAATCTTATTTGATAAGAAATAATTTGATTTGATATCATCTAAACAAACTAGTTTTGATGAAATGATGAAATGAATATACTAAAAATTTAAAATAAACTAGTTTGAAAAATGATTTTTAATATTTTTTTGAAATTAAATCTAACAAGAACTAGATAGATAGTGGTTAACAAGTTAAATTTAACAAAGAAATATTACAATTTAAAGTTCATAGTGATTAAAAAAGGTATAAGAAAGGTGAAAATGTTGTGGTTACCTCGAATTAAATAAAAATGATATGGTCAATTAATTAGAAATAATAATATTTTGAAAGTATTTTATAAAATAAATATAAAACTATTTGGTAACAATATCTAAAATCAATTTTATTTAAGTGGTCAAAGTTTATCAATTTTGTCGTAAAATTCAAAACTAGATAAAAGAAAGAAAAACAAAAAAAATTAGAACAACAAAAATAAAAAAGCAAAAAAACTTAAAAAAATAAAAAGTAAAAAAGAATCTAAAATAATAAAATACGGAGTAGAACAAAAAATAAAATGTAAAGTTTGGTTTGGGAAAGAAGGAGTAGAATTTAAGAGCGGAAAAACGATTTTTTAAAAGAATTTTCTCAACTATCCTTCCTTCCCCCTTTTGGCATTATCAACCGATATGCTTCCCCCTTAAACAATGCCGGGATATTGAAGGATAGTAAAAAAAATGGCAAGAGTTTTATTTAAAAGAGAACTACTAGTAAAAAAGCCACAAAGGGACAATATGTTCTAAACAAGAACAATATTGCCAACCCAACAATGATATCAAAACACAATTAATAATAACTAGCATCATTCAAAGAAATATCATCATCCACCAAAAGAGTCATAAAATAATATCATTTAACAATTTATCATAAATAAGTCATCACATAAAGAGAGAGAGAAGTCAAAGTGAGCTCGTCGGCCGGGATCTACCACTGTAACTGTGACGCGGTCCGAAATATGGTCGTCGCTCTATCTCCGTCATCCGCTGCTCAAGCCGTGAGAGACGATGGCCTTGCATGGTTACTTCCATGCGAGTATGTGCCACATCCGTGCGAGTGCAAGTCACGGCATCTAAAATCCGTTGAAGGATGGAACGATTAGCGCGGCGCGATGAAGTAGAGCGTGACACCCGAGTAGGAGAGGAGCGCCGAGTCGATTCCACTTGAGCGACTTCTTGGACATGCGCCGGTTCGCCCTCCGGGTCATGTTCTTCTTCACCCTCTTCTTCTTCTCCTTCTTCTTCTTCTCCTTCTTCTTCACCTTCTTCTTCTTGCACGGCCCTTGGTACATTAGAGCGGTTGAAGGTTGCGACATCGATCCTTTGCCCTGGATCAATCCGCCGATGCAGATCCTGGAACCAATTAAAACCATGGATCGATCCATAAGCCTGGACGGTCCTCCTGACGTTGGGCTCAATTCAGATTTGAGAAGTTTGCCCAGGTGATCGGTCCATTGCGTTGGATCGATCTGCCGACTGGTACCTGCAAATATATGAAGCCCAGTGGATCGATCCAATTGGGGAGATCGATCCCCTCTGTTCTAGTTTCGAAAACTGCCCTGAAACACTTAAAATATACCTTGCAAAAAAGAATTATTGCGCCTCCGACGCTCAAATTAGTACCATCAATAAAAAGAATGAATTAATTCATAGAGATATCCAAAATGCCAAGTTCGTTCCGAATGTGGAAGAAACACTCCCTACTAAGGGGTTTCGTGAAAATGTCCGCCAATTGATGTTTCGTTTCAACAAATTCAATTGTGACATCTCCGTTTTGGACATGATCTCGTATGAAGTGATGCCTAATTTCTATGTGTTTAGTCCGCGAGTGAAGAACGGGGTTCTTCGTTAGACTAATAGCACTCATATTGTCACACCTAATTGGGATGTGATCAAGTATAAGGCCGAAATCCACTAGTTACTGTTTTAGCCAAAGAATTTGGGCACAACAACTTCCCGCAGCGACATATTCCGCTTCGGTGGTAGATAGTGCAACACTAACCTGCTTTTTACTAAACCACGAGATTACGAATGACCAAATAAGTGGCAAGTACCGCTGGTACTTTTCCTATCGAGTTTGCAACATGCAAAATCCGAGTCGGAATAGCCAACAAGATGACATGTCGAACCTTTGGGATACCAAAGACCTACGTTCAACGTGCCCGCGAGATATCGCATTATCCTTTTGATCGCAACCAAGTGCGACACTTTAGGACATGATTGATATCTAGCGCATATACAAACGGAGTACATGATATCCGGTCTACTCGCGGTAAGATAAAGTAAAGAGCCGATCATACCTCGGTAGCGTTTGATGTCTACCTCTTTACCTTTTTTGTCCTTGTCGAGATAGCAAGATGTGCTCATTGGTGTGTCAATGGATTTGGATTCGGTAACATCGAATCTTTTAAGCAATTCTTTGCAATATTTCGTTTGACACACAAATGTTCATTCTTTGCATTGTCTAATTTGCAGCCCAAGGAAGAACTTTAATTCTCCCATCATCGACATTTCAAATTCACTTTGCATCATATCGGAAAAATCCCTGCACAAAACATCGTTAGTAGCACCGAATATGATATCATCTACGTAAACTTGAACCAAAAGGATGTCTTGGTTATCTTTCTTGATGAAAAGAGTAGTGTCGACTTGACCCCGTTTGAACTCATGGTCCAAAAGAAATTTGCTTAACCGTTCATACCAAGCACGAGGTGCTTGTTTGAGACCGTAAAGCGCCTTTTTGAGTTTGAAGACATGTTCGGGAATCTCATAGTCTTCGAAACCCGGGGGTTGTTCGACATACACTTCCTCTTGAATGATACCATTAAGGAAGGCACTTTTAACATCCATTTGATAAAGTTTAAAATCCATCGTAGACGCAAATGCAAGTAATAAACGAATAGCTTCTAAACGTGCAACCGATGCATAAGTTTCTTTATAATCAATGCCTTCTTCTTGATTGTAGCCTTTAGCTACAAGCCTAGCTTTGTTTCTACTGATTACTCCATATTCATCGAGTTTGTTACGAAACACCCATTTTGTGCCAATAACGGAATGATCATTAGGTCTAGGCACCAATTCCCAAACATCATTGTGTTTAAATTGGTTAAGCTCCTCGTGCATTGCCATAGACCAATGTTCATCATTAATAGCATCCAAAACGGTTGTTGGTTCAATTTGTGAAACAAAGGCCATGTGATTAATTGTGTTCCTAAGAGAATTACGAGTAGAAACTCCCTGCGTTATGTCACCAATGACATTGTCAATCGG